GGGGTTTTCAATTTTCTTCAACTCCGGGCACTCCCTTCTCCAATGTCCCTTCTTTTTACAAAAAGTACATCTATCATTTGCTCTGTCCTGTTGACAATTAGACCTGTAATACCCGTGGTTATGTCTACGACGTTCTCGATAGCCACTTTCCAGCTCCATCACACTTGTTCTCTATTCCGATATACCATCCAAGCTATATCCAATAACTCACCAATATCCTTTTTATCACCACCTGCCTTTTGCAGTTTTTTCCTTATATCATCTGTAGACTGTGCTATAAAAAAATACACCAGGTGTTTTTTCCCCAGGTCTGACTCTATATCAATATCAGTGTATTTCCTTATGACATCCTTCAGCCTATTCAGAAAATCTGTGGGCGACTCATTCGTATCCTGTCTAACTTCATGCATCTTAGATCAGTTTATTGCCTTCGGAACCCCATGTCGGAATCCATAAATTACCCAGTCTTGATAACGTTTCAATGTTCTCAGATTTGCTGGTATGTTAGGATCCCATTTGGGATCCTCAGGGGGAAAGATATCCTTAATATCTTCCCCTGGAAACTGCCCAGAGGTTTTTAGCATCTCAACTGCAGTTCGAGCAGCTCTTTTTACCATCTCCTTCTCTGTTTGATCTAATAAAGTATCCATCATAACTTCCAAGTCATACCAGTCAGGGTTCTGAGTTTTGATTGCTCTCTGGACATAGTGTGCTACTCTCTCTGGGTTATCTCTATATGCCCCTACAGAATCCTTCCATTGTTGTAACTCAATCATTGAGAAAGGAACTTTTATTAATATTGTGCCCTGATTGGTTACAGCTTGTCTTAAGGGGGCTTCTAACGGTGGCTTATCCTTTGTTCTTGTTCTACTAGCTATCGGATCTGGGGCTGCTAACGCTTCATGGGTTCTCTTCCCCTTTGTTTTTGGTTTTACTATAGGTGGGTCTACTTCTCCTTCCCCTGAGCTATCGCTTGATTCACCTTCTTCTTCTGTGCCTGTATCAGCCCTGTCATTATCAAATGGGGGTAAACCTCGCTTCTGCCTTCTCTCAGCAGCTGAAACTGTCTTGCCCTGTTTTCGCATCCCTGTTCCCTCTTCATGAGACGCGGTGATTGGAAACTCTTTTGGTTCTTCTTTCCCCCGCCTTCCGTAAAGCTGGACTGGCCCCCCTCGGCAGGGGGAGGCGGGGGAAAAGGGGCAGCTCCAGCTCCACCCCCCGGGTCAGTCAGGACAGAGGCCCCGGCTGTCAGCGCCACCCCTGCCCCTCTCGCAATTCCGGGAGTTGCTCCTGCTACCGCTCCTGGGGCCCCTCCCCCCGCTGCCCCCGCAGCCCGGGTTGGCCCCAGTCCCGTTACTCCTGCCAAGCTTGCTCCTGTACTCGTTGCCATCACAGCAGATCCTGTACTAGCAGTGCCCAGAGCAGCTCCCGCCGCCCCCGAGCCAACTCCTCCGGAGGCCCCGATTTGCCCAACTCCCCCCGGTGTGGCCGCACCAGAGAGTCCTCCAGTGGCCCCCGCCTGCCCAGCCCCTGCCTGTCCAGCAGGAGCTGGTCCAGAGGTCGCCACCCCTGCAGTTCCAGCCCCCCCCCCCCCCTTCGCCACCGCAGCAGGGGGGAGTCCTACCTGTGGGGCCCCCGGGCTATTTTCTCTCCTATCAGGCGATATTAACATATCCAAAACGTCGTCCCCAGTGTTTTTAAATAAAATTCGTGGGACAGGAGCAGCCTTAACTTGACCTTTCTTATTTCCTTTTTCTAAAGCCATTTCTGAAGTTTCTGTCTCTTTAGAGCCTTCGTTTTTCTTATCTCCTCCTCCAAATCCAGGACGTGTTAATAGAAACATAAACACCTCTGCATACCGAATTTCCTGCCATCTCTGTTCTTTACAAAGAAGTGAAATTAATTGGAACACTGTGTCTAGTTCAAAAGGACCAAATTCCGGCCAAGTCACCCCTCTCATTTGTCCAAACAGAGGCCAAGCATCTACAGACAGCCTACAAAGTTCTTTCTTTGTTAAAATTGTCTCAGGACCGGTCAAAGTACTCCAATGTTTCAAAATCAAACTCAGAGGAGACCCCTTAGGAATCTTAACATTTGAATCCACACAACCCATGACAACAAAAGACAAACAAACAACAGACCAGGATTTGAACTTGTTGCTTTAGGATTACAAAACTGTTACTTTAACCACTTAGCTACAGAGCCTCCTTGGCTCCTTGCAGGAACAGAGCACTCTGGAAGGGTGTCCCCCTCCGACTGAAATGAAACCCAGCCCTAGGTTGACAAAAATCCACTCTGACCTGCACCCGGCGAACCCTTTCGCCTACTGGAAATTAACTCTCGTGACTTCTGGGCCCAAGTCCAAGCCTTTCCAGTCTTACTGTGTTCCCTATTTCCCGGGAAACACAAAAACTCTTACACAGTTGCTAACAAAAAAAGGTACTTTTTCCCTTTATTTTGCCTTTTCTTATCTCACCTCTGTGCTCCATGCTTGGTTCTGTGGGTTCTGTGGAGCTGGTTTTCTCAGACCGGGGCAGGAATTGTCTCAGATAAAATGCCGGCTTAATGAGGAATTCCTGTACGATGAAATGTCCGATCTGGAGAATTCCAGGTCCAATCCTCCCTGTACAGACCACCAGCTGATGCCTAATAGGAGTTGAGAAAAAAAAACTCCTGAGCAGTTAATTCGGGATGAGATAAGAAAATGATTTAATTCATGCCTAGGCCATGTTCAGATGTTAAAATTTATAATAATGTCTGTCCAATTCCAAGTGTTTCCGCCCTGTAGTTTTTGCCCTGGTCCTCCCCGGCCCACCCCCTGGGAATTGGGTCTGGGGTGCATTTAGGGACCACCTCTTCATTATCTTCATCTTCTTCAGAGCACAGAAGGTACACGGTCACCCAGTTCTTGACTGTTCTTTTGCGGTTCAGGTCAGGATTAGATGTCCTCAAACAGAAGAGGCCTGCCTTGACAAAAGACTAAACATTTTCTACTGGAATTCAGGGGTAGAATTGATATGGGGAACATAGAATGGGGTGATGGCGTAGAGGAATGTATAAACTATTGTGCTAAAGGGTGAGGGAATAAGGGCTGCTGCTTCTAAAATCTACTTCTACTACTTAACTACTTATAAAACTTATAAAAATTATCAAAATCAGAAAAACTAAAAGGGTCTTTAAGGCATCAATAAGATGACTGCAATCCATACTCTGACAGATTTAGGCACCTCTTTTACAACTTCATTCAACAGTTCAACATCTCCGCATTTCAAAGCAGCCAATTTACAGTCCTTGAAAATAGAGGAATCCACATTAGCCTCCGGGCAGTGTGCCGGTGCTGCTGGCGCTGTGTGTGGCCACGTGGATACCAGAAACCGGGATTGATTATATTGTGCTTGCAAGATTTCCTCTGCTGTTGGACCAGACACCGCTAATGTTTCCGCCAGCTTAAAGGGATATAATGTTGTTTCTATTTCAGGGGTTACAGAATCCAGATCAAAGGACTCATTAAGCTCATCAGTCACTGTCGATGGGTCGTTAAGTATTTTATTACCCTCAGAGGATTCATCCGCATACGATGGCGATGGCGATGGTGGACCAGTGGCCAACAAATGGTGTCTGTTTGTTCCACAGCTCTTAAAGCCATATACACAGCTTTCCAAGCAACTACAACTTCGGTCAGGATATCCAAAGCTAAATCAGCTTTCGTTCGAAGTTCCTCACCAATCTTAGCCCATAACGCAGTCTCATAAGAACCATGTTTAGAGAACCAGGGACAAGAGTCTCTAACCCATACAAGCAATTTGACCACATCAACTATTTTAACAGTAGACCCCTGTTCTTTTAATATGTGATGCAAAATTTCTGCATATAATTTGTGTTTCTTCAACACTGACTGACTCATAATGTTCTGCAACCACTCATCTCTATCACAATGATGGGTGATGGTCCTGAAGTAGGACGATGCGCATCACTGTACGTGATGATTTAGTCTCTTTCGGGCGCCATTTGTGACGGAATGACACATGGACTTCTGGCTTGATGGAGAGAAATTGTTTTATTGAAAAAGGTCCAAGGTTTTTATCTCATTCACTTTCAGCTGGGAGTGGTTAAGCAAATCAAGGCAGAACACAGTTGCAAGTCACACATCAATCATACATAGGTCGGCCCATTACACAGACCACAGACACAGACCTTGTAGTTTCCAGTTACCCTGCACCCCCCTCCGAGCTCAGCTCCATTCCCTGGACCATAAATCAATGTAGCATTTGGGTTCACAGACCCCGTCACATGTGGTTCATGCAACTGAATCAAATTTATTAAGAACAACAAGAACTTATATAGACAATTCAAACTGTGATATGTCATAACATGTGACCTTCTCAACCAATCACATTTGAGCACTCCATTGAGCATGTGCAACAGAGTACCAAAGGACTACAAGTCCCATAGTGCCTTTTGGCACTCTTCCTGTAATGTAAACCACTACAAATCAAGGCTTTAGATAAACAAGATCATCTAGACATTTCCAAGGCCTCTCTGACTTTCCTCCTTTCTCGTTCTCATGCTGGTCTGCTACACAGGGGATCCTCAAATGTCTGTGTGCTTGTGAATCTAGAGTGTTGTGTATGTGTCGTCAGTAGTGAACTTACATCTCCTCCAACTAAAGAGGATGAAGAGGATGTAGCTGTCTGTGTTTAATTTTTGTATGGGTCCTGTATGTAGGTGCTATTGAAGGCAGCACCTTGCCTGTGGCAGTCTGTGTGACTGGCTGTGTCAGTGTCCTTTGTGCATCTATGTGCGTGTGTGTCTCAGTGATATGTGCTCAGCTTCACTACTAATTAAACCTGCAAATGGGAAAGTGACAGCCATGTCCCTCTGCCTGAAGAGAGACCCTGGGTCCCAGGACATCCTGGACTGGGTTCCAGCAGACGGGCAGGAAGGAGTCCTGAGCTAGAGCTGCTGCCGGAGGCAACCACTCTTAACAGTGACAATGTGGTAGGATGACCCTGGCTGGACACCAGGCACCCACCAAAGTCTCTCTGTCACTCCCCTTCTCAGCTGGCCAGGGGAGAGAAAACATAACATGAGTTCATGAGTTAAGGACCAGGAGAGATCACTTGCCAAATATCATCACAGGCAAAACAGATTCAACTTGGGGATATTAATTGAATTTATTACTAACAGAATCAGAGTAGGATTCCGAGAAATAAAATAAATCTTAAAAACACCTTTCCCCCACCTCTCCCTCCTTCCCAGCTCTATCTTCTCCCCCACAGCAGCGCAGGGAGATGGGGAGTGGGGGTTGCAGTCAGTTCATCACACATCATTCTTTCTGCTGCTCAGGGAGAGGAGTCCTTCCCCTGCTCCAGTGTGGGGTCTTTCCCATGGGAGACAGTCCTCCATGAACTTCTCCACTGTGACTCCATGTCACTCTTCCATGGGGTGCAGTCCTTTGGGCACAGCCTGCTCCAATGTGGGTCCACCCAGGGTCACAAGTCCTACCAGGAAACCTCCTCCAGTGTAGGCTTCTCTCTCCATGGGTCTGCAGGTCCCTGCCAGGAGCCTGCTCCAATATGGGTCCGCCCAGGGTCACAAGTCCTACCAGGAAACCTGCTCCAGTCTGGGCTCCCCTCTCTTCATGGGTCTGCAGGTCCCTGCCAGGAACCTGCTCCAGCACAGGTTTCCCACAGGTTCACAGCCCTGTCTCAGGCATCCACCTGCTCCAGCATGGATCTCCTCCATGGGCTGCAGGTGGATCTCTGCTCCCCTGTGGACCTCCATGGGCTGCAAGGGGACAGCCTGCTTCACCATGGTCTGCACCATGGGCTTCAGGGGAATCTCTGCTCTGGCACCTGGACCACCTCCTCCCCCTCCTTCTCCACTGACCTTGGTGTCTACAGAGTTGTTTGTCTTGCATATTCTCACTTCGCTGTTCTCTGGTTTCAATTACATCTGTGCAAAAACTTTTTTTCCTTCTTAAATATGTTATCACAGAACCGTTACTATTGTTCCTGATTGGCTTGGCCTTGGCCAGGGGCAGGTCCATCCTGGAGCCGGTTGGCATTGGTTCTGCTGGACAGGGGGGATGCTTCCAGCAGTTTCTCACAGAAAGCACCCCTGTAGCCCTCCCACTACCAAAACCTGACCACACAAACCCAATAGAGACAACCAGTAAACTATACCCATGTTTTAGGCCTCACCTGCCTGGTATATCATTTTGGACAATGGACTCTCTGTTGGGAGCTAAGATGTCAATTTTTAAGTGAACATGAAATGGTGAGTGGTACCTGATGGCTGGTAGTGACTCAAGGTCAAAATTTAAACCTGCATAGTGAAGGTGAGGGAGAAACAAGGATGTGGAACTTAAAGTAAATAACAGATGGTGTCATATTTCATTGGACAAATGGTACCACAACTATACAGGTATCCCCTGATGTCGTAGAATTTTAAGATTTTTAACTTTTTGTATATTTAAATGTCATCATGGCTAGGCTTCGCGAACGAAGATTTAGGAAGGCTCTATCCACATTTGTTACAGGCACACTGGTGGTTTATGAGGCCAATACGAGATAGACATATCCAATTGCAAAAGGCACAGCAGAAAGACTCCTTAGATGGTATATTTTGCAAGACACGGTTCTTTCTGCATTGTCTTTTCTCCTCTAGAGTGATCCTGCGTGTGTTCTCAAAGGAGACAGCTGTGTTATAGATGGTGTATCTCCAACTCTCCCGATTGGAGGCCAGAGTAGACCAGTTATGATGATCAATATGGCCAAAGTTGAGATGTTGTTTCAGGGAGTCCTTGTATCTTTTCTTCGGAGTTCCTCTCTTCCGGCAGCCGGTGGCAAGTTCACCATAGAGCAAGATCTTAGGGAGGCGGTGATCTTTCATCCTTGAGATGTGCCCTGCCCATCGCAGCTGTGTTCTCAGCAACATGGTCTCTATACTTGTGACTGCTGCTTGTTCTAGAACAGATGTATTGGTCACATAATCTGACCAGTGGATGTTTAGGATTGTGCGGAGACAGTGTTGATGGAAGCATTCCAGGAGATGCAGGTGGTGGCAGTAGATGACCCATGATTCGGAACCATACAAGAGAGTAGACAGCACTGTGGCTCTGTAAACACTGCTCTTGGTACTTTTCTTCAAGTGTTTATTACGCCATACTCTTTTGTGGAGTTTTCCAAAAGCACTATATGCCTTTGCTAACCTGTTGTCTATCTCTCCGTTAATCTTACCATCCCAGGAGATGAGGTTACCTAGGTAATTAAACTACTGGACTGATTTGAGCTCTGATTGGCCAATGGTGATGTGGGGATGATGGGGGACTTCCTGAGGTGCAGGTTGATAGAGAACTTCTGTCTTCTTTAAGCTGACTTCCAGCCCAAAGAGCTCAGCAGCAACTGCAAAGCAGGATGTTAAATGCTGCAGAGCTGCTTCTGTGTGGGCGACAAGGGCGGCGTCATCAGCATAAAGCAGCTCCCGGACAAGATGATTTAAGGTCTTAGTGTGGGCCTTCAGTCACCTTAAGTTGACTAGGCTTCCATCAGTATGATATTGAATGTAGATACCGTCCTGATCATCGAGGTCTGCAGTGGTCCTTTGGAGTATCATGCTGAAAAAGACTGTGAATAGGGTTGGTGCCAGAAGGCAGTCTTGTTTCACACCATTCTTAATTAAAAAGGGCTCAGAAAGTGTGTTGCCATATCTGACTTGGCCGTGCTGATCCTCATGGAGTGAGATGATCATTTTAAGGAACTTGGGGGGACAACCTAAATGTTCCAAAATCTGCCACAGACCTTTTCTGCTCACAGTATCGAAAGCCTTGGTGAGGTCGACAAAGGTTACATAGAGACCTTTGTTCTGTTCCCTACACTTCTCTTGCAGTTGTCTGAGAACAAATACCATGTCTGTGGTACTCCTGTTGGCTCTGAAACCACACTGACTTTCAGGTAGAATTCCTTCTGCTATAGCGGGTATTAGTCTGTTCAAGAGTATTCTTGCCAGGATTTTGCCAGCAATGGAGAGCAGAGTAATACCACAGTAGTTTGTGCAATCTGATTTAATACCTTTTTTCTTATATAAGGTGATGATGACTGCATCAAGAAGGTCTGATGGTAGTTTGCCTAGTTCCCAACAGCACACCACAAACTCGTGAAATTTGGTACGGAGTGCAAGGCCCCCATGTTTCCAGACTTCAGGTGGAATTCCATCAACCCCAGTTGCCTTGCCGATTTTCACCTGCTGTATGGCCTTGAGGGTTTCTCCTAAAGTGGGGGCAATATCCAATTCATACTTTACTGGTTGTTGTGTCATGGTCCAACGGGGAAAGGAGAGAGGGACCTTCGCCGGCTTGGCTTTGTACCCTCTTGAAAAAGGAGAGAGAGAGGAGAGTGGAAGCCTTGGAGCACACAGAGGTTTGCCGGTCTGGTTTGGGGGAGGGAGAAGTGGGGGGGAGGGGAAAGGTTCTGGGCAGGCTGTGGGGGTCCTCGGCCTGGAGGGTGGGCAGGTAAGAGGTGCATGGGAAGATATGAGGTAACACGGTGGGGGGAGGATAAGGTCAGTTGGATAATGGTTTCCTCTGAGGGATGGGGATCTCAGCCAGGCTGGGGCCTGGAGAGGTACTCGAGCCCTCGGTGGGTACAGTGGCCAGAACAGTTTTGTTCGTTTGTTTGTTTTTAGCTCACTTGCAGCTACTGCCCAGGTTCGGTATGTTCTGGATATATTCGTTACATCCTGCAAGGGTGGTCAGGACAAAGAACTGATCCTGGGTGTTTCCCTGGGATTGAATATATATAGGTGGCAGAAAAGTAGGAAGTGTAAGACTTGCCCTAATCGTTTTAATAGTAGGAAAGAAGCCTGTGCACCCCTATGTGGTTGCGAGCTATGCTGGCGATGGTACATGCCTTCGGTAGGGTTGCCCATGCCAGACAGGTAAAAAACGTAGGGTCAGATACAATACATCCTTGAGCAGGATGAGCTCGTTAGCCTTCTGGCAGTCATCCTAGGAGAAGGACAACTCTAATCCCAAACCTGGGCAGATGGAGCTCGCTTAGCCCTGTAAGGCCATCCATCTAAGAGAAGGTCACTCTAATTAAACCTACATCCTGAGGACCTCACTGCCACTGTCCAAGCTCGCTCGACCCTGGCAGATGAACCTTAGGATTAAAGGGTGGGTTCAGTTCTGCGCATACTGCATCCCACCTAAAAAATCCATTGCGCAGGCTTGTATATTTAAATGTAGCTGTGTAGTAAATATGGATTTTTAGTATGACTCTGTAGTTCCTCACACTTTAGAATAGCATTTGACACTTACGAAACCCTATTCTCACATTTCGTATTGAATTTTCTACATTCTTTAAGCTTGTTTAGTGTTCTTCTCAAGGAAAGGTTCTAGCAAACACATCCTGTTTTAGGACATGTTCCTAGACCAGAACAACAAGATATTGTAGCCAAAGCAACCTTGAAGGGCCTAAACCTTGGAGAAGCTCCAAATATAATGTGTGCCAGAAGGAGGAGGAGGAAGATGAGGAAGAAAGGGGTCTTGAGACCTCCAACTCAGTTCCAGGGACGTATGACGGGGGGCAATTCTGGGGAGGATCTGGGGGCGGATAGTTCTCAGATTGGATGGGATAGTACTATAAAATTGTAGAACCCCTGGACACGGGTGTACGTTGTGCACCAGAAGGCCTTCATTAAAGAGTTGCTCTCTATCTTATCTATACTAACATTGGTGAATTTTTTCTCCCATTTTAGGCATCATCCTAAGGCACAATTATCAAAACCCACCAGTAGGGGGCCCAATGTTCACGTAAAATTCTCGTGAGGCTGAGCAAAGACACCAGTCCATGTGTCAGGGAGCTCTTATGCTTTTGTTATATAATCACCTTAATTCTGACAAGCAGCCCACTATTTAGTCTAAAAAGTTTTAGGTAACAAGCCCTTTACTTTTACAACACACTTCCACAAGCTCCTCACTCCTACAACTAAGTTCAGTATGGAGCACAGAGTAGAATATGATAGCCATGCTTTGCCCAGACAGAGCAAGGGAGGAGAGAAATAAAGGCAGAAAAGAGAGAAAGAGAAGAAAGAAGATCACCAGTCCTTGGATCCTGTGTTGGTCCTGCTGCTGGTCCAGAACTGGGGTAAACAAAGAGAGGGAGAGAGAGAGGAGAAAAAGGAAAGAGAGGGATGGGTGTCGGAGGACAGAAATTGTGTGAACAATTTCTATTGCATTTCTGAGACCTTCACCTTGGCATGGCTTGGTGCAGACAGTAAAAAGATACTGCGCCACTAATATGGCTGCAGGCCTTGTGCCAAGGTGAAGGACGAGTTGTTCTGTCAGGAAAACAAGTTTTATGGACACCTGCTGTTATCCAATTAGTACTGTACACCACAGTATGTTTTCCTTATGTATCCAATGTAACCTGGGGAAGAATCACATGTCTCTGTGCCACAGGTAGCATATAAACTGCCTTTCCTCTAATAAAGGGGACATTTTTGCCAATCATATTGATTCGTGTGCAATTCTGTCCGAGCCTCTCCTCCAATAGATGGGGACTGATTTGCTTCCTTTTATAGTTAACCTGGTGCCTGCCTCTTATGTAAACTAGACTTTTTGTGCCATTTCATTTGTGCATGCACAGCCAGCTCTGTGAGCCCTCTAGGAAGTGAGTTGAGGGCGGGGAGACTGAGCATGAGTCTCATGGAGGAGCAGGAAGTCGACTCAGAACAGCGCTGCCCCATCTCTACGGGACCCTTTCTTCCCATCACATCTTTCCTGTCATAACAGTCAGAATGTTTGAGACAAAACATGTCTTACCTCTGTTCTGGATCTGTCTTTATCACAATAGGGAGGGAAAATGATCTTTCCTGTAGCATTAACAAACATGCAGGGAACTGCACAATTTTCTTGATCAGGAATTACATTGCTTAGGGCTATCGGTCAGTAGACCTTAGTAACCTGTCTCCGGGTTCCTGGGATGGCAATTCGTGGGGTTTCCCCAAGTCCAACAGTCACGTCAAAGTATGTCTTATTCAACAAAATGCCAATTAGGGGCCAGTTGCTATTCTCATCATCAGTTGCTGGCATTTGAGTACAAATCCAGCAGTCATTTTTGCAAAGGATTTTAGATACATTTTGGACTAGGACCATATGTAATTTCTGGTTCCAAACCTGAATCATAGTTACCGACTGTACAGATAATATATACAGAAGAAACTGTTTAAACCACATCCTCTTCATCAGTGTCAGGCTCTGATTTGCTAGTTGTTCCAGGAACTGAAGCTTTCTTAACTCTGGAGTAATGAAACCAGGGTCCTTTGCCAGCAACTTTGACTGTAGTGAGGGAAGTCAGCAGGACTTGGAATGGTCCTCTCCACTTGGCTTGCAGAGGATCACTGTCCCACCATTTAACATAGACCCAGTCTCCAGGCTGGAATTGATGAGCAGGGGTGTCCAATTCTATGGGTCTGGATAACTCGATGAATCTCTGGAGTTTCTGTACAGTAGAGCCTAGAGCCATTAAATACTTTTGTAAATCAATTTTCCCCTTCATGTGAATGTCCCTTGGAATATGTAGAGCTTGATATGGTCTCCCATACAATATTTCATAAGGACTTATGAGGCAGAACTAGAGGCAAAGCCTGAACCCATGACATGGATGTTACCAATTTGCATTTTAAGAGTGCCATTCATACGTTCTACTTTGCCACTTGCCTGAGGTCTGTAGGGAGTATGCAGGTCCCAGACAATTCCCAGGACACGACAAACCTCTTTCACTACTGTTGCAATGAAATGTGTCCCTTTATCTGATGACATTCCTGGAGGAACTCCAAATCTTGGAATTATTTGGTTGAGCAAAGCTTTTACCACTTCCCTTGCTGTGTTAGTATGACAGGGATAAGCTTCAGGTCATCCACTGAAGGTGTCAACCAGTACTAGCATGTACTTGTATCCCTCCCTGGGTGGTAACTCAGCAAAATCTATTTGCCAATAATCTCCATGAAGGTCCCCGGACTTTGTTACCCCTAGCACCACTCTCTTGCTTTTATCAGGATTGTTTTACTTACAGATTTCACATTTACTTACAATGGATTGCACAATTTCGATCATACCTGTCCCTATTACTACCTTCTTCAAATGTTTTAGAAGGTTTTCTGTTCCCCAGTGGGTAGCCTCATGTTCCCTAAGGAGTTGGGGTGTGACCACAACCTGTCCTGTAGGTGTGACAGCCCATCTACTGTCTTTGATATCAGCGTTAAGGGACTTAATTAACTGGTGGTCTTTCTTACCATATTTTGGGGTGAACCCTATCAGATCTATTTCCTTTTGTGGTATTACTGCTAGGATACCTTTTTCTGCATCCCCTTTTGCCACCTGGTCAGTAAAATGATTTCCCAGTTCGGGAGTTGTTTTCCCCTTTTGATGAGCTCTGCAATGCATGATAGACACTTCCTCTGGTTTCCAAATACTCTGCAGGAGTGCATGGATTTGGTCAGCATGTTTGATCCCACTGCTTTGGGCGGTTAATAGCCCCCTTTCTTTCCAGATGGATCCATGGGCATGTACAACACTGAATGCATATTTAGAATCAGTCCAGATATTTACCTTCTTTCCTTTGCTCAGTTCTAGAACTCTTGTCAGTGCAATCAATTCCACTTTTTGGAATGATGCATCAGTTGTCAAGGCCTTCTCCTCGATTACCTCGTCCTTGGTTGTCACTGCATACCCTGTTGTTCGCTTACCATTCTGCATGAAACTGCTTCCATCCGTGTACAGTTCCCAGTCTGGGTTTTCTAGAGGCATGTCCTTTGAAGAGGTCAATAACTATCCGATCCTAGGTTTGGAGGTGAAAACTGGAATATTTATTGAACACACAAAACGCAATATAAGCGTCTTGAGGGCAGGACATGTTAATGAGGAGGACGGGTTATGCTAGCTAGGGGATGGATCATGCTAACTAGAAGATTACACAGCTCTCTGCTACAGTTACACAATTGGTTAATATTTCCCTGTCGTGGGTTTACTAGCCCCCTGGAACTGAAGATGGTTAGTTCCAGGTGGATTTCCTGGTGCTGAGTCAATCGAAAGTTTTAGTAATGCCTCTGTGAATTATATATTTAAGGAGCTGGAAGAGAAGGCTTTTGGCGCAGAAGAAACTGAAGCCAGGAGGGTGAGAGAGAGAGAGTTGCCGGGCCTGGGGGCCATGCCCCATGACCCAGGCCCAGGGGGGCCTGGCGCAGTGCTAGAGTCGGGTCGGGCATGGTGGCCAGGGTTGGGGCGATTCCCCGCCGCTTCCCCCCCACTGCGAGCAGGGGCAGCGGCAATGGTCCTGAGCGCCCAGCCGGGGCAAGAACCGGGCACCCTGGGGGGCAGGCGCGGCACTGGAACCGGGTCGACCCGGGTCGAAGGGCGGTGGCCATGACCCTGGGTCCACAGCAGCTGCTTGGTGCGGCAGCAGTGCGCAACACTGAGTGGAGCGGGCCCAGAGGAGCCCGGAGTGGTTTCTTACTTTTTTTTTTTCCTTCTTCCCTCCCTTTCCTTTGGGAGGGGGGGGGGGATGTTTGGGGTTCTTTTTTATATGTACATAGTATTATAACACTATATATCTGTGATATAAGTAAATATATATATTTTGCTATAGTTCTGCTATTTCGGGGGTTTTTATATATATATATATAGTTTGTTTCCTCTCACTCTTTGCCAGAGAAGGGGCGGGGGGAGGAGGCTTTTTGCTGGGTCTTGGGGACTCAGCAGGGAGCCAAATCAAAATTAAGACACAAGGATTACATGGGGGGGGAGGGGGAAGAGAACAAAAGGGTTTCTACATGGTCTGATAACATCATCGAATAGTCTCTCCATATCTTGCTGCAGGAGACAGGCCAATCAACATAGTTAAATATCAATAGGTCTTGTGAGGGAGCGTCCATCCTCAGGTGATGGGATTTCTTTCAGCCCCTGTTGCCCAAGGCCTGCTACATAATCCTTTTCTGATGATATCCCAATTTCGGATTGCTACAGTCCTTCAGGTCTAGTCTGCTGGAATAGGCCTCTTTGATGGTCTGCAAACAGTCATGCTCAAGAGCTGTCAGTCAGTGTTGAAGACAGAAACATAGCAGGATTTACAACAGATGTTTTCAGGGTAACATCATCCTGTTCCAGCAACACAGCTTGGTATTTAAGCATTCTGCTAGGGGACAGCCAGTGGCCTCCCTTTTGGTCAAGCACAGCTTGGACTGCATGGTATACATACACGACAATGTGCTGCCCAAGGGTGAATTTTCAGGCTTCCTGGATCAGGATAAGAGTTGCTGCTGCAGCTCTCAAACACCCAGGCCACCCTTGGCTAACACTGTCTAGTTGTTTGGAGAAGTAAGCCACAGCCTTTCTCTGGTTTCCCAGGGTCTGTGACAGTACTCCCAGAGCAACATTCAGTTGCTCATATGTGAACAGTTCAAAAGGCTTAGTTAGGTCTGGTAGTCCCAATGTTGCAGCTGACATTAAGACTTTATTTCAAACTCGGCGTGGTTTTATTCCTTAACACCATGTGACTTCTTTAACCAATTAGGTCACCTATGTTGGGGCATGCTCCCTTGGGCTTCTCTGCCTCGGCAAGTCCCCTGTGCCTTAGACACGCCTCCCACATCACCCCTCTTCTAATTATCTAAGGAAGTCACGAAAACAGTGCAAAACAGCAACAGTACATACAATCAAAACAGTACATTGTAAACTACCAAGGCTCGCAATGGCCCAGTACATCGCTTGCCTGGCCTCTTATGTTTCTATTGTAAACTTTTTTTAAAACTTTCTTATATTCCTATAGGGCAGTGCAACTTGGAGAGATAACTTTATTAACTTAGGGGCCTTAGCCCAACTGTGTATAAAATATAACTTTTATTAACCTGAGGGATTTTAAACAACTGGGGATTTCAATTTTATTTAAGGAACAGGATAAGTTTAGTAAAACTAAATTCTCTTGAAATGACTTTGTGGAGGAGGTAATGTTATTTTGTAAGGTGCTTTGTGTTTTAAGATTTGACTTGTCAAACAACTC